CAGATTCTGAAGTAAGAGCATCAGAGCATGACATGGACCGCGAGTCCCAGGAGTCCAAGGCCTCTTCAATTGCTATAGCCCAGAAGGGAGGTTTTGAATGCCCTTTAAAGTTTGCCTAGTATTTCTGGGGGAAACCCGTTTTTAACTGATTCCTCCATGACTCAGTTTCCCTTTCTCTTGGTATTCAGCCATCCTTCGTTCCTGCTGCTCCTCCAGTTCATCTCCTCGCTGTCTGCCTGCGGCGCAGGGGCCCGTCTACAGCGCTTGTAAATCCTTTGGGCTCCCCGCACCTGTACACCGAACAGCTTTTCCTCAGCACATCTACAGCCCCAACAGGCACTCGGACCCCCAGACCCCCAATTCCCCCAATGGGTCTGGGTGGGCGTGACTTAAAGAGGAGACCAGGGCCCCAGATTGGGCCATTTTTGCCTCCATAGGCAGCAGCTCACCCCACAGCCCCAAGTTCCTTAAGGTCCAAAGGTACCAAAGCAAGTTCCAGGGCGGGGTTTTCCATCCCCGGCCGCGGGCTACGCACAGCCTTCCCGGGTGCCTCACTTCCCTACCCGGATTTGTAAGGATTTCAGGTTCTTATTTCCAGCCGCCAGGCCAAGGACGCCTGAATCCCTCGCCCGCCCGCGGGCTCGACAGGCCACCCTCGGGCCAGCGCCCTCTCCGTCCCCGGGTAGCCCGGGCGGGCTCCCCGGCGCCCTCTGGGGCCGGGCGGCGGGCGGGCGTGGCCGCCAGCAACACACGAGCCCTCCCCGCCCCGGTCCGCTCCCCTCGGCTCGCTGCCATCTGACTTGCCCCGTCGACTCTGGGCGGAGGCCGAGCGAGCCTTCGCGAAGGACGAGGGCGGCGAGAGGCGGGCTCGGCGCCCCTCCCGGGCGGCGCGGCGCCGGCCGGCGGTGCAGTCGCGCGCTCGCCGCCAGCAAAGCCATTGGCTCGGCGCAGTCACCCCACGCGGGGCTGCAGCGGCGGCCTCCGCGGATTGGCGCGCGGCGGGCATCCAGCGGGGCGCGCGCGAGCGGGTGCATGCTGCCGGGGCTGCGCCGGAGCCCCCCGCCTCGGGCTGGGCGACCCTGTCCGTAGTGGCCACCCCTCCATTGTCCCTGCGTTGCAGATGCCGCATTTGGGGCCGCCGCCAGCCACAGACACCGCCGGCCGGGCCTGGAGAAAGGGCGCGAAAGGCGCGCTCCTCGCGCGGGCGCCCGCACCGACCGCCGCCCTGGCCGCACACTGCAGCAGTTCGCGCTCTCGCGCCGCTCCCCTCCCCGCCTGGGCTTATTTGCATATCCCATGGCGGTAGCCAATCAGGACTCGTCTCTCTCGAAGCGGATGGCTTTTGCCTGAGAGGAAAGGGAGTGGCTGGCGGCGCATGCGCCGCGGTGGCCGACTTGAACCGAGGCTTTTATTGCTGTAGTTTATTTCCACCCCCTTCCCTCCTGTTCTCTCTCTTCTTTCTTTTTTTTCCGCCCTAGCTGGGGCTGTGTTGGAAGAGAGGAAGAAAGAGAGACAAGAGGATTGCATTTTGCCCTCACGTTCCTGAAATTTGCTATCAACAAGACCAGCAGCTAAGTGCGCCTTTTTGAATCCTGCAAAAAATACCAAGTCTCTTTCCTGGCAATTTCTGCTTTAAAGCTGCCCTCTTGAAATTAATTTTTTCCCAGGAGAGAGATGTCTTATCAGGGGAAGAAAAATATTCCACGCATCACGGTGAGTGTGGTTCCAGGGAACTCTGCGGTCGGCCAGCAGCCTTTTGTGGCACAGAACGTCTAAGGAATTTTCTTAAAGGAGGGGGACGAATAGGGACTGAACTTTTTTTTTCCTGTTGCTAGAGAAGGTGGTCGTGGTGGTGGGAGACGCGATCATACAGAATTCTAACCCACGTAATTTTAAAGGCTTGAAAACAGGAGCGCGAGTGTATTCAGGCTGCCCTAGGTTGCGCGCCAGATCCGCTGTATCCTTTTATTGTCAGAGCGAGATGCTGCAGTGCTGGCCTGCGGGGTGGAAGCAAATGGATGCCAGATTGAATATGCATGGTTGGAGCTCGGATATTGTTCTCCGGGCTGCGTGCTGGGAGGCTGGACTCCAGGAGTTGGCGAAATGGATTCTCCCTGTGTCTCCCGCCCGCACCATAAAGGGCTTTCTGGAGCCTTCCTCCGGCTCAGAAAAAGGAGCGAGTTTCAGCTCGGAGGCGTAATGACAGACGAAGGATGCTGAGAAGTGCAGGCTGTACCGGGATGGTGTGGAAGTGCGAAGGGGAAATAGGGACGCGGGGCTGAGCAGAGGAGGGTGGGGGGCCAGGCGTGCGCTTTTGTTGACCAGAGGCGGGCTTTTGGTGGCCCTCTCGGGCTTCCTCGCCTGATGGTTGGGGTCTGGGTCCCTGCAGGGCTGTGGGTTCGCTTTCTGGTACCTTTGTGCCCCTCCTGCAGCCCTCGAGGCGTCCGCGCTGGCGCATACAAAGCGGGCTGAGAGGGTGGGCTTCGGGTAGCGCCAGGCCGGCTCGCGGAGGCCATGGCGCTGCGCTACGCGCGGAGCTGAGGCCCCGGCCGGGCCTGGCCAGACAATGATCGCCGCGCAGTCCCGGGCCCGGGGCCGTTAGTTTGTAAATCGCGAGATAACATCTCAGCGAGGAATTAGCGATGCTGTAGCGAGGGCACCGGTTCTTGCTCTCACCGCTTCCCTGCCCCCACTCCTCCGCATCCTTTCCTGGAACCGCGTCGCCAGCCCAGTTGTCTACATCCCCGAATGAAATCCCGGGGAGGGAGGAAGGCGAGGGAAATTCATTGTTATATAATGATGTGCAGTTGCAATTGGCCGGCTGATTGCTGGGTAGAAACCAGGGCTGAGGCAGAGACCGAAAGAAGCTTTGCAAAGTCAAGATGTGTTCGGGGCTGCATCTGAGGGCCCGCTTTCGCTCTGCTTTTCTCCTCAGCCATGGGCACCCCGGCTTCCTCAGGATGCACAGGGCACACCCATGCGCAGGAGAGGGAGGCGGAAGCCAATGCACAGGGGAGGGGGCGTGTGCTCGGGAGGATTCTAGAGGTTGAGCTAGGCTCTTCTACAGCAAGGATGGGCACCCGGTTTTTCCTGAAGGCCGGAGACCCATGATGCCAAAAGGGCCGGGTGCGGGGGCGCCCCGACATTACGTGTTCCCTGCTTTAGAGGAAGGAGTCTGGGCAGTGGGGGTAGGGTGCAGATTTGCTGCAAGCCTCAAATAATGTGCTGTCTTCGTGAATGAAAAAGCCAGTTTCGTTTTGACAGTGTGGGGAAAAAAAATTTAAAAAGGAAACAGGACGGATTTTTTAAAAGAGCGCCCCCTCCAACCCTTAAAAAAAATCTGGCTGCATGATCCTAGGATCAATAGCATGGTTTCCCTCCCTCCATCGTCACGGCCAGCCTCTTATGTAAGAAGCTTTCTGGAAGGCATGAGAGCGAACCGGGCTGTGTTGTTTCCTTCTTGGCATGATGTGGGCTCTGGGGTTCACAGTGATGGCAGGTACTGCAGGGCTACGGGAGCAGGTGTGAAGAGCAGGGTTTCTCCTTGCATCCCCGGCCATATTTATCCTGTCAAAGCTGGACATCAGGAACTAGGGGATATCATGGAAGACGACTGGATCAGTTGACATTGGCAAGTGTCTTAAAGTCTCCGAGCCTCAGTTTCTTTATGTGTCCTGGGACTAAGAATTTGCTCCACCCACCTCACAGATTTGTTTTGAGGCTTTGGTGACATGGGGTATAGAACAGGTTTCTGTAAAGGTCTTTACATTTACCTTATACAAGCACAGGAATTGTTATTGACCCTTAATTCCAGTGACTTTCCATAGTCAACAAAAGAATGAAAGACCCTATAATGTAGGAAAGTAAAACAATCTTACTGTTTTTCATTATGAGAGACAATATGTTCTATACCCAGGTGTGTGTGCTGTGCTTTTATGGGTAACAGTATTTTTTTTCCTAGGTCCCTAGCAGCTTATATATTTTTTAAAGCTTTGCTATAATTTTCTTTTCTTGATAGCACTAAACATAAGTAGCACCAGCTGAGAGTTTTGCTTTATAACTGAATTTTGAATTAACCATTGTCATAATGAATGCCATCCTTTGAAGTGCTTTGCATATTTAAAGGCAATCTGTGGTTCGATTTGTAACATCTAAACCCAGTTTGGATTAGTGTGGTTGCCTGTCTACTGAAGACAGCATTTTAATATTCCATTTCATCAGAGGCATTGAGTCATAATATAACATTTCTGTTGCATTCCTGACCCTCATGTGCTTGTCATAAATTTTTTTTGCACCAATTAAAATACAAGTGCATCAATAATCTTAGATTTTAGAACTTGCTATCTCATCTATTTTATCATAAAACTTTACCTTTTTCTTAACAGCTTAATAAAAGTGGTGTATATATAAAGCATTTGTTTTTCACTCTTTGTTATAATTGCTCTGATTTGCCTCAAAGAAAAAAGCAGATATAAAGAACATAATTGAAATGAAATCCTGCTGTGATGGAACCAAGTGTGTTTGTGTAGGGTGTCCCATGACGACAGACTTTTGGTTAATTTTTCCCGACACAAACCTTGCCAAGAACTGACTTCCCTATGTGTGGGTGTTATTTTTTTTTTTAATGAAGTTTAGCCTAAAGTCATTTAAAAAGTATTATTTTCTTTATCTGAAATGTTTTTGTTTCCTTCTTTAAAGGGACGTTAAGCTTTCTTTCATTCTTCCTTTTTTTTTTTTTTACTTATGGTCTAATGGAAAGAGAGCTTTTTTGTGTGTTTCTTTTACCCAGGATAAGCTTTAAGCTTTGCCAGTGTGTTCACTCATCACGTGATATATGGGTTGCCACTTACAGGTCACCTTTGTCACTGAACCTTTCCAAAATTGGTTCATTTTGAGCATGACTTTTGAATACTGAAAATGTGTCCTTAGCTCATTCATCTTAGAACCAGTGTTTCTCACGTGTCAGGTGTGCAGGGTGACCTTATGTTTCTTTGTTTCAGAGTGATCGTCTTCTAATCAAAGGAGGTAAAATTGTTAATGATGACCAGTCCTTCTATGCAGACATATACATGGAAGATGGGTTGATCAAGTAAGTGTAACTCATGATATAGACCAAGTTTTGTACCTTCCGGTATTCCTGTGTTACCTTACAATAGTGTCAAGTTTTAGTGATTTCAGAGCGTGTCTAACTTAGTCATCCTTTAAACCCATTTTGATTGGTGGTCATTAGTGAATTTGAAAACTCAGGTTTAGGGAAGTCCAAGCCACAATTAAATGTGGCTTTTTCATTTGTATTATGTAATTTACTATTTTAACTGAGGGATACAGTATCTTCTTGTTGCCAGCTCAAATCCTTGGTGTTTGATCTACTAAACATATTCAAGATTTTCCTTGAATGTAGAGATTGGTTTGCGGAGGATTGATTCCCCAGTCATGGGACACAGACTCAGAGTAGACTTTCTTTTTATCAAGATAGTACATCTACTCTCTTAATCATGAATCTAAGTCTTTGGGGGTCAAAGGACACCAAACTAATGACCAAGTAACACAAATTACTGTCTCATCCTGGGGGAATTGTAGGTTTCATAGTAAGACTTAAAGTAAGTAAGTAACACTGCCTTTGTCCTTACTGTGTATTGTGTTACAGGGAGAAACAATAGAGCAGTTACTGAACTAGAGTATTTTTTGGTTCTAGAGGGTTAAGTGAGCTGAGTACATACCAGTATCCTCGTGCCCTTCTGACAGGGATAGCTCCCAGGGCCCTGGAGAAAGAGCACATCTGTTTAAAGCCAAACACTGAAGCAAATGACATCTTTTCAATAAGCGGCATTCATCAAGTGCTAGCAGCAAACTAGTCCAGAGGAGTGGAAAACTGGAGTGGACGTGTCTGCTGCCTGGAAACTCACACCCTAATTTACGAACCTAAAATAAGTTTGAACTTTTCCACGTTTAATGTTTTCTCCATGTGTGTTTGCTTGTGACAGTCTCAGCTCTGGGCTCTCAAATACCATGACTTCTATGTTCCATTTTCCCCTAGTTAGAAGGTAGCATGATCTGGTCCAGCAGAACGATACTGGCCTAGAAGTGAGCAAGCCTGTGTACTATTTAGTCATTGCTAATTTGTTTGCAAACTTTATCGACTCCTCCTTGATTACTTTTTCCTTTTTAAAGAACTGGTAGAAAGATACAGCAAAGATATTTTGCTAACAGTTGGTAGTGTTCTGTATTCCCCAACATAATGAATATTAATTTTTCTACCTTTATTATCTGAGTTGCTGGTTGTACACTTCCAAACTTTTAGTTTCGATCCTAATGTTCACCTTTTTTTTGCTGTTTTTTTTCTACCCCCACCCATCCACCACCCCAATTTTCTCTATGTTGAAAAGGATATGGTGAAATTAAATGTTTGTAAAGTGCAACCAGGGTGTAGAGAAAATTGCTATGGAATAATGAACTCATCTGCCTGTGTTACAGAGGAAGTGTAGGGGCATTTTGTGTAAATATCTGGGGGCCTTGTTGTCATTTGATCTTAGGGATTTTTTTTGTAACTAAACATCTTTGGGGCCTCCGATACCTTATTTAATTTTGTTTTCTAGTATGCTCTGCATTGCCTCTTAGTTGGGGATCGGAAATGAAGAGTACACATATTATGAATAAAAATAATCTAAAAATTATATCTAAAGATAGTTTGTGGCCTGGTGAAAATGTCTGTCAGATCCCCTTTGATTTGAGGATGTTTCATTTATAACCGTTGTCACCCATCCTGTTTATTTAGGCAAATAGGAGAAAACCTGATTGTGCCAGGAGGGGTGAAGACCATCGAAGCCCATTCCAGGATGGTGATTCCTGGAGGGATTGACGTCCACACCCGCTTCCAGATGCCTGACCAGGGAATGACCTCTTCTGACGACTTCTTTCAAGGCACCAAGGCAGCCTTGGCCGGGGGGACCACCATGATCAGTAAGATGGCTTAAAAATAATCGTGTGAGAGCTTAGGAAGCATTATCAGTTGAAATGAATCTTGTTTGATTCTTGCCTATTAAAAGTGCTGGTGTGAGCAGCGGATTGTTCTACCACATAAAGGGGTGGAGTGGGCTAGTCATTTGTCCTGTGTCCTTGTCCTCATTTTCTCTCTAACTCTGAGTTTTCTAGTTGAACTTGAGAATATGATTCTGGACAGTTTTGGTAGGATAAAAGGAATGGCTTCTTAGTTCCTCTGCTGGAGAACTTTTGTCTTCCTTGACCTGAAATTGTGATTTGATTGTGGTTACGTTAAAAGCACAGCCTTCAGAATAATCGGCAAAATTCTGTTTTGAACCTTTGCTCATAAATATTTGATTTTTATTTTCAAAGAATTCCTGAGGCTGCATCTTGTCAGAATGAGGATGGGGTGCAGCAAATGAAATGTTGAACCAGGAACCTCTATTCTGATGAGAAAAGTCAAATGGGGGGAGTCTTTCCTGGCCTGGGTTTGATGGAAAGTGGAATTGGGCAGACCTGCTTGGAGAACAGCTCACAGATACTATTAATTGTCATTTAGATAGGAAAGTTGCCAGCACCAACTGCCGGTGCGCTTCATGTATTGTGCCGAAGGGTTTATGCTTTTCATTCAGCCAAACATAAAATATATTTCCAGTAGTCATGGCCCTCATGGCAAGAGTTTGCCTGTGAAAATGTCAGTTTCCACTGTCCCTGTTGATTGCCCCTTTGAGAAACAGTATTCTGTTGAGGAGGTAGGCAGGCTGCACAGTGACCCATCAGACACAGTAAAAGAAAACACATCCAAGAGTGAAAGTGAATATTGAGTGTATCTTAAAAGCTTACAGTTCATTTCAGAAGAGGGTCAAAGTAGAAAGAACTTAGCTGCCCATGTTTTAGAAGAGCCTGTCTCACTGGTTGTTTTTCAGAATGGTGGCCTTTGCACCTGGAGCTTCAGATCTGTCTCCTAGCTCTGTTTTTCATCCTACCGCCTAAACGAAGGTTGTTCCTGCCATTCCCTTCTCCCCTGGGCTTTGTTCCTGCCATCCCCTCCTCCTCTGGGCTTCCCTGCCCTTTAAATCACCACCCAGTGTCCATGCTCGCTCAGTCCTCGGCTTCGGTGCGTCCGAGGGATCAGGGGCCACCCTCTCCTCCCTCTTTCTTATCACAGCCTCCAAGTCAAACCCTTACCAAATCTGGTTGCGCACATCACCTACCAACGCGGCGGGTGCCATGCCCCAGGGGGCTCCGGCCCAGAGGAGGAGCTGCGTTTGTCAGTGGTGTGTGTCAGGACTCACTTGGCGCTGGTGGGCTCCCCTGCCCCTCTCCCAGGGCCGGCTGCATAGCCACGCTGGGGCTTGGAGGAGCCCAGACTGCTTGGGTGTGAGCCTGGAAAGCCCAGTCGGGGTGATGACCTGCCTGAGCTTGGAGTTCATGTGAGGGCCCTGTGAGCCCCTGCATGGGTCAGTGTCAGTCAGCCACAAATCATGTTTCCTGAGTGAGTGGTCAGTGGTGTCCCCCATCAGAGGACTTGCTGGACGGGGTCCCTCCACATGGAGATGCCCCTGGCTGGGAGTCGGGCGTCCCGGTCTCCCTCTGACACCAGCTCCGTGTGCGACCTTGGGCAGGTTGCCTCCCTCCTTTGGGCTGCTCACGTGCCCAGTAAAGGATTTGCACCCCATGACCCTGCACCTCTGCCCAGCCCCCACATTTGGCGGCTCCCTGAGCTCAGGCCAGGCTTGCCTCTAATCAGAGCTGCTCAGCAGGTGCACGAAAGCCCTGTTTTCTCCCGTACTGGCTTCAAAGGCCTGGGAGTCTCTTTTCTCCTCTCCTGCATTCCTGAATGTTCCTCTTCACTCCCCACCCTTGACCCATCCTTGGGCCCCTCTCTCGGCCGCCTTCCTCCTCCGCTTTCCATCCCCCCACCTTTGTCATGCGGACATGTCCCTTCCTGCTGATGCCCTGACTTTCTCCTAGGCCTTCTTTCTCAGCGGTGTGGGCTTCCTTCCCTTCGTTCCAGGTGGGCCCCTTCTGTGCAGGGACGAGGGACGGCGCCACAGCCCTGCACCTGGCCCAGGAGGCCCAGCGCAGCCAGCAGGTGGCGTCACTGCAGATTGGAATGAACGGCAGTGAGAGGTCAGAGCCTGCCCACCTCAGGTGGGCAGGACGTGACCGAATTTTAACGCGGGACCTGTGACGCAGTCAGTCAGGCTAAAGAGCAGGGCGATTTCATGCGCAGACCCTGCAGAATGAAAATCGACCGGTAGTGGGGATGTGGTCACCACTGTCACACCCCTAATGCCACGGCTTTCCTGGCTGGAGAAAAATAGGAACTGCTCTTACAGACAGATAACTACCCTATAGAATTCCCACTAGCCTGCCCTTCTCTGAGGAAATAAGTGGCCATTATACAGCTGAGGAAACACAGATGAGTAATAAGTGGTGATAATACAGATGAGGAAATCAGGATTCCTTTCTGCTTGCTGGTCGTCCATTCTGCATTGCTTCAAGGGAGTGAGTGGCTGGGCACGCTTCACAGACAGGGAGCCTTGCAGGGGAGAGGCTAGCTTACTGTGACTTCTTTGCTAGCTTCTTTAGTGACTGTTGAGGCCAGAAGTAAAAGCAGAAGGCACTTGGAAGAGATGCAAGTGAGAGCTTGTGAGAACAAGCCACTGCAGTGAGTTGGTACCCCATTGCCCAGGCCCCCTTCCTCCCATCTTCCTGGGTTCCTGCAAGCCACCTGCCCCTTGCTGTGGGCTTCCCAAGGGACCTTGGAGGCTCCGTTTCCATCTGAAATGGCACTGCCTGCGATGGAAAGTACAGCTGGGTTCTCCCAGTTTAAATGGAGGTGATACATCAGCAGCAGAAAATAATATTATTGCCACCACACAGAGGACCCCATTGAGAATGGCACAATGAGGTCTTTGTGAGGGGCACTCAGCTCAGGGCACAGGAACGCCCTTGGACCTTTCTGTCCAGTGATGGGTGGGCAGGGGCTCCAGGCGCACCCTGCAGGCGGCATTCAGGCCGGCGGAGGGAGCCACGGAGGTGGCAGGGGTGCTGCTCAGGGTAGCTGCTGCTGGCGTCCTGGGACCTTCATGATTGTCAGAATCTCCAGGAAGGAGGGGGGAGCAGTTACCTCTCTTTTTTTAGAGAGGGGAAGACTGAGGCCAGAGGGAAAGGCATTACTGGTTGACACTTACCTGTGCTTTGTGCAGTCACACCACCTGCCAGCTGACTTGGCTAAGCCTCAGTCGCCTCATCTGCAGAAAGGGAGAAGTTACCAAGATTGGCTTGGAGCCTTCTGAACAGGACCTGGTGTGCAGAAAACACTCAGACACGATCATTACTATATTCTGTCGTGTATTAGGGGCCATAGCCTCCTATCTCTGTAGAGACTCCCCCTGGATCTATTCTTTCAACAGAGGAAAGAGGGTCCATCTGCAGCAGGGGCTGACCTTCACCTTGGCTGGGAACGGGTTCTCCACGTGTGGTCAGCAGACTGCCCTGTGTCACCCGGGGTGCATCTCAAAATGTTCAGCCATCTGGATCCCACCCAACCGATGAAGTGGAGTCTGCAGGTGGGACCTGTGACTCTAGATTTAAATCTGGTGATTGTCATATGCACCTGCCCTGTTTGAAAGTATGGATCTCAGGTCTATGCCAGGGCTGCAGACTTAGGTCCCCACTTACCTGGGTTCCCAGCTCAGAGGAGAGGGCCTGACTGTCATTTCCACTAACCTGAAATCAAGGCTTTTCCTACTGGCCACAGAGCCGCAGACACAACCCACTCAAGGGGGCTGCCCCCTGACCTCTGGGCTACTGCCATTCATCAGAGATCATGGGACTTGGGCACAGACCTGGCAGGACAGGTGGCTGCTGCAGTGCTAGAAGTGGCCCTTGTCCCAGATTCCAGACTTGTCACTTACCTTGTCGGTGTGGCCCCCTGGAGGTGCCTCAGGCACTCCACCCAGCCATCCCCAGGTTAACCCCCATCTTCTCCCAACCTCTGCCTCTCTTCCAGTTCCCAGCTCCAGAGGTCTGCCCTTGTGGTCATCCTGTGCTGAACCGAGTTAATTTGGCCTCTGTATTATCTTTTGGACCCATTTCGTTATTGCTGCTCATTTAGACCTTTGTCATCAGTACTGGATTTTTGCCCTGCCTCCTGGGGAGTCTCCCTGCCCCAGCATCCCACCTCTGCAGCCTGGAAGGCTCCTCACAGGGGGGTCCTTTCCCAGCACAGTGTTGATTGTGTCCCTTCTCTGACACCCTCAGCAGCTCCCCATGCTCGGAGAATGCAGACCAAGTGGCAGAGCTCTCCACGATGTGGTCCAGTCCTGCTGCTCCACCTGGACTCATGTCCCCTCAGTCAAGGATGCTCTTCCCATCTTTTTCTGCCTTTGCGAATCTCTTACCCTGGATGCCTGGCTTAGATGCTCCCCGCATCTGAGAGCCCCTGCTCAGCTGCCTTCACTGTAATCTGCTTCTCCTTTGCACCCTGGCAAGCCTTGGGTTTGTATCCCATGGCCCTGACAACTTTCATCCTGTGTCAGTCTGATCAGGGCTCCTCTGTCTCTCGTTTTAATATCCTGCCTGCCCAGCTGTGTCTCCTGAGGCTCTCCATTAATGCCTGCAGTTGAATGAATGGATTGAATGGACACATGGATGTGCTGATGGGACCTGCCTTCCTGCTGTATCTGAGTGAGATGCCAGAGGACCAGAGTCCTAGGGCGGGAAGGCGGGTGTCACATCTGATGCAAATTGTGTTTGTTTTGATGGAAGCATCTGGCTCTTCAGGGGTGCTCCTGTTTCTGTTGCTCTAGACCCACTGACTGGCCAGCCAGTGAGCTAGTGAGCTGATGCCAGGGGAGGCAGGGGGAGAGCCCAGAGCGTGAGCATCAGCCTGAAGTCACGAGCAGGGACAGCTCTCTCCTTCTGGATTGTTCTTTCCAGAGGAGTCTGGTTTCTGGGTGCACAGGTCA